ATAGAAGGTACTGACTGATTAATAAGTTCTGTTTAAATTATTTCATACATGCTCACCTCTACAAATTTCTAATAGAAGGTACTGACTGATTAATAAGTTCTGTTTAAATTAAGAGAGAATCATGGCTGGAGACATGACCTGTCCAGCTGTTGTTCTCATAATACTGTGGGTGGCCAGTGCTTTGATAGCAAGTAAAACAGTCCTCCTTACTTTCAAGGTGAGAGAGAAATATGACTTTTACCTACACGTTGGTCTTTCCTGGAAGCAAATTATATAGCTTTCTATGCTAAAGTTGATTTGCAAAGTCAGATTTGAAAAACTATACCACAGAAAAAACCTGGATGTTACTTTGCTGTTTAATACATACAGAATCATACTGATACCACAAATCATGGTCAGGAAGAAATATTCACCTATAGTGACAGGTTAACGTGATGAAGTAGCATTCAGCCATGTCTAGAGAGAGATGGCGAGGTCTGAGTTCACACAGGTTTCCTATGATTCTGAAGAAGCTGGTAATGGCTAGAACCACATAAATACATAAGCTCTCTACTGTTGTGTACTGAAATGCCACTGTCAGGTGCCTGGATCCTGGGATTTAATCCACAGCTTTAAGATAACCTTGTAACCTTCATATACATAAAGTTAGACATCTGTGAATTACATTCACAAAAGCCAGCTTAGTGAATGGAGAGCCAGAGGGTATATAAATGTCTTCAAAACAGAATTTGCTGTGCCCTGCATGCAAAATTGCCCTGAGTAAATTGCCTGCAAACAAACTAATGAGCATACTGAGGGCAGTCCAGCCCAAATATAACAATCTTGTTATCATAACTGTCTACTCCTAATAATTCTGTTCCTGAATGAGGTCATTCAGAACCTGTCTTGTTATTCCTATGTATATTTTGTGGAGTATGGACCTAGTCAAGGGAGTTCTAGCTACAGAGCTACCGCACATCAGTTGAACTTACTTTCCTACTTGTAGTGAAGCTGCAGTCCAAAGCTGCAGTTTTAAAGCAAACTCAGATTCCTTTTGCAGACCCTGAGCAGTGAGAAGTGATTGGTTTGTGTTTACTTCCAAAGCAGGTTTCTGTGTATGTCAGAGCTCAGAACAACCTAAAAAAACATTATTTGACATGACTTTGTCCAACTAATATGAGGACTAGGACAGTTGTATAGGGAGCAGAACAGGAAAAACCTCCTAGACCTTTGTAGTAAGAGTTTTATTTCAGCAGCTTCCCAGTTTAGCAACACACTATTCAAACACCCAGAACATGGATGTCTTCCCAGACATGCACAGGAAGGACCGTGATCCCCGTAGTACTGGCATTGATCATCTCTGATGAAGCACTTCTCATGAAATCTAGAATTTTATAATACTAAAGAGGGGGCCTAAAACATGCAGCCTCTAATACAGTTTCTAAACAGGGTAAGATCTTCATCCTTCAGAAAGAAATAAAATGAAGTTATGGTTTAACATCTGTAGCAATGTTACATGTTGTGGAAAATTATGTGGCAGCGCTCCCTCCAGACGGCAGCATCCCTTTGAGATGGAAGGGAGCACACATCTGCCTTCCCCTGCAAACATCATTACTGTTCTCATTCTAACACTGGGAATCATTGTTCTCTATTAAGCTTATACTGAAAGCTTTGAATAAAAGCCTTAAAAAGCTCAGCTGAAGTACTAATTCTGAGGGAAATATGCAAATCTGGATGAAATATTCCATTTATTTTTAATCTCACTGTAATTAAGATGATTAAATGACTGAATAAACCCCTATATTTACATCCTTTAAAATACCGCAACGAAAAGCCATAATCCTGTTTACAGAAAAAAGCAGTAGAGGCCTTTTAAAATGGAGACATCAAACTAAACTTTTACTTAAGCAGCTGGTAACTAATGAACCTCCTGTTAGCAAGTGCATCAAGAGTTAACCTCTAGGAAACCCATCTTAGAGAGAAAACTAATGTGGGGTGAAGAAGAATCAAATATTATGTTTATGGAAGGAAAAAAAAAAAAGGATAAAATGTTATGCTTGTGGATGATTGAGTTATCCATGATTAATATATTTCATAAGGGGCAACTTAAGGATTTGTAACAAAAAAAAGATTAGTGGAAAAACTTCTGGATTAGACACATTTAAATGATACAGGACTCACAATGAAGTCAGAGGCAGCATTGTTTTTGGAGTGATGGTCCAGGAAAAGCAGGAGGTGAGAACCCTCTGGCGCCTGTTTGTCATAAGGAATCTGCACAAAATCCTTTTCATTTAACATATTTTCCTTCACTGTTCTGAAGAAGTATCTCTTTAAAACTCTCTTGCTTTGCTGTTCAGGTATTTCTTATCAAAGACGACAATAACTTAACAAATTCATTTATTAAAACCTAGAAATAATTCTCTCATCTGAATATGCACTGCAAATATTCTGAATATATCTCAGGTGCACTTCTCCTCTCTTACCCTCTCTCCCCCCAACTTATTTCTTCGTAAAATATTTGGACAGCAATCTAATGAAAACCTACGTGAATAATCTATACGTATCACAAGTTTGGGTTTGGGTGTTTTTTGCTTATTGCACTACCTCTTGATAATATATGACAGCATCAATAAACAGAAATCAAGTCTCTATACACATAAAACTTGTTTTCTGATTAAGTTCCTGTCAAAAGAAATTAGTGTAGCATTTTTTCAGTCAGTGGTGCTTTTTAAAGACTTTCAGATTTTTCTAGAATTGTGTTCTGTAAGAATGGAATGCAGGTTTTATTCAGCAAAAGTATTTATTTTATCTTTCATTTGAAAACATGTTAATAAACCCATATCTCTTAATACAGTGTTCTTTCACTAAATCATCTTTCTTTTCCAACAATGTTTTGCTAAAAGGTCTCAATACTGAAATTCTTAGGCAAGTTTATAACTAGTTATTGACTTTAGAGAGTGAGAAATGGGATTTTGTTGAAGGACAAATTACTTACGAGGTTGTGGGGAATGATTAGGTTTGATACTGTATCATGGATTTATCTCCTGGGATATGTAAGTGAAAATTATTTCTAAAAGTGCTGATCAATGTGAAAAAAAACACAATATAGGGTAGCTTGTGGTGTTCATCCACAAAAAAATTCTCTATCATCAAAAACACTCCCATAACTCATGGTGTTGTTAATGTTAGATGTTCACACATTTTGAACATACTTTGAATAGTCTCTAGCTTAGATATATCCACTACAGTTGTTTAGCATTCACTTGAAAGTCTGTCTCCTAGGTGATTTTAAGGGTCAAACTTCTTAGGACTATTTAGAAAACAATACCATCTAGACATAGAAACTAAAACGAAATATCCAGAAGTTAAAAAAAAAAAAACAAAAAAATTAAAAGATGTATTTTAGATGTCTCTGCACATAAATCCTTGAAGTTTCTCTGCACTGAAAAAGACTTTTTGTAGCTGGAAAAGAAGTTCCATGTTCGTTGCTTAATTTCAGAACTGAACTCACATACTTCCCCCTTAACATTCCGATTTTCTCCAAAATTATTTTTCCCAAACTGACTCTGATCTGGAAGTAATTTTTCATTAGTGTCTTGTAGCATATTGCCAGAGCTTCATGGAATGATTTATTCTTGAAACATCACCTGATGTGGAATTTTTTGGAAGGCCCATGGAGGTAGCTCTTCCCTTTCCCAGGAGACTCCAGCCACTATACTGATACCGCTTGCAGTAGATTTGGTGGCTCACTGAAGAAAATGAAAGGTACTATTTTTTCATCATGAAAGGCAATGTGTGTGTTACAGGAAAACACTGCATTGGAATCTGTCTAAATATAAGTTTAAAAGCATAATTTTAGCAAAAAAATATGTAAACAGTTTGATGACATGTAAGGTGCATTTTGTGGAATGACTGCTGTTAAAAGGTATATGACTACTCACTATTGATGCTCATCTATCCTTACATTCTCAGTTTGTTTGGGGAATCAAATTCAGCTCTTTTTCTGCCTATGTCTTTCCCCTCTGTTTACTTATCATAATCAAGCCTTAATGCCATGCATTCAGTCCCATCACACAGAGATTGTAGTGTCAAGTTCAGAAACAAAAACTATAAAAAGAGAATGTACTCAGAAGAGAGAAAAGCAGAGAGATGTCCAGAAGGTAAAAAGCCTTAATTACATTGATAATTGTCATCACTCCAGAATAAATGGAAACAAAAAATTTCTCTAACAGAAACTCAGAGATTTTCATTTCTGCAGCTCTTCCATCTTCAATGTAACCTTCTTTCAGGGCTCAAATTTGGAGGAAGAAAATCTTCCCTCAGTACAGATCTTGTTTCCCAAAGAGGAAAAGGATAGACTATACTGCATGCATTGAAAACCAAGATATTCTGGCTAGCATTGTCTCTCCAGGTGCTATATGATATGCAAATATAAAGACATACTTAGCTATCTGCAGACACTGAAGCAGTGACGATTTAAAAAGCAAAATGTAACCTTTCTAGAATATCTACAATTTCATTTGGGAATCCAGAGGCATTTTGTGGGATTTATGATATTTCTGACTTCTGTCAATGATGCAGTTGTACTGCCAACCAAGCTATACAGCAAGAAACAGCAACTAAAATCACATCTGTACCACAGAAAACAAAAGACAATTTGTATTCAACAACGGTATCTTGGCACTGACATTTGGAATAACTTCTGAAGGCTTCTAAACTCTAAAAGAAATCTGTGACTGCAAGGCAGCATATTTACCATAGGTGGCACGGAGACTGTTACGTTCAAGTTTTATACTGGGAATAAGACAATCTTCTAACAGAAATTCTGCTGTTATTAGGTGCCGTTTGCAGTACATGGGCTTTAATTACTCCTTTGGTACCCAAAAAACTATCAGCAGAGTGCTGGGCATTTAGTTTCAGAAGTTCCACAATTAAACACACCTTGTAACTAAATTACTGAGCATCCAATAATGAGAAAAATTTAAAGGGCCAGCGTGCATACAAGCTGCAGCCTACTGTACCTGGTGAATGAAGTGGAGGGGAGCACATCAGAACAACTCCTTGACCTTCACGTACAGAGACAGCACTTCTTGTCCGGCCGCTAAAATTCCCCAGATCTATCAAAAGAACAGAGCAATTTAGTTACATAACAAAGATTCTAAATTTTGTGGTTACTGTGACTTACATTTTATTTCCTCTTGTAAAGCTGACAGTTCCTTTTTTCATACCTTAATCTAAAATAGAAGGGCCTTTAAAAAATAAATCTAATTCCATCACAAAAAAATTCCATGTTGCATCAGCAATTTATTACTCTTTTCAGTGCACTTAGATCCAGTATCAAAGGAAAAGCAGCAGACAATATATATACCATTTACAGAAAAAATTAATAGTGCTCTTTTTTTTTTTCCCATATCCTGTTTGTTTTTTATCACCAGTAGAAATGATTCATACACTGCAAAAAAAAAGAAAAGTCAAGCAAACACCTTGGCCAACATCCAGACTGATATGTTGCTAATGTCATTTGGACACTGCATGGTACATTGTGATGAGAAGAAGAGAGAATCAACTGCATTGGATCTAACCCCAATTCTAGTCTATAGCACATTCACTCCTTTTGAATATTTCATTCTGGTTTCTTCAATGTTATAAACACAATTCAGTTGTGGGAAAATTTATTTTCCCTCTAAAAGTTTCCTTCCAGTGGGAGAATAAGGAACATAGAATCATAGAATAGTTAGGGTTGGAAAGACCTTAAGATCATCTAGTTCCAAACTGCCTGCCATGGGCAGGGACACCTCACATTAAACCATGTCACCCAAGGCTTTGTCCAACATGGCCCTGAACACTGCCAGGGATGGAGCATTCACAACTTCCTTGGGCAACCCATTCCAGTGCCTCACCACCCTCAGAATAAAGAACCTTCTCCTTATCCAATCTAACTTCCCCTGTTTAAGTTTTCACCCCTTACCCCTTGCCCTGTCACTACAGTCCCTAATGAAGAGTCCATCCCCAGCATCCCTATAGGTCCCCTTCAGATACTGGAAGGCTGCTATGAGGTCTCCATGCAGCCTTCTCTTCTCCAGGTTGAACAGCCCCAACTTTCTCAGCCTCTTCATACGGGAGGTGCTCCACTCCCCTGAACATCCTCGTGGCCCTTCTCTGGACTTGTTCCAATAGTTCCATGTCCTTTTTATGTTGAGGACACCAGAACTGCACACAATACTCCAAGTGAGGTCTCACAAGAGCAGAGTAGAAGGGCAGGATCACCTCCTTTGACCTGCTGGTCACGCTCCTCTTGATGCAGCCCAGGATACAGTTGGCTTTCTGGGCTGTGGGCGCACACTGCCTGCTCATATTCATTTTCTCATCCACCAACACCCCGAAGCCCTTCAACATTTCACTTTTCATACAAAAAAATTTGTATGAGGCTGTGGAGCACTGCTATGAACAGTTTATTGTATTTAAAGCCTCTCAACCAGAGGATCTGATTATTCTTTTTACCTCATGGAACACTGAACCTGGATTCACATTTGAGGTAGATAGCTATGCTCTAGCATGAGTTATCTGTAGCAGAAGAGATAGGACAGCTCAGTTCTGCCATCAAACTAGTGCCTTTATCCATTCCTCAGTGCCAGTAATGCCATTTAAAGCTGCTATTCAATAAGGGTTTTTTCAGACGTTTCTCCTTATGTGGATGAATCAAGGTGAAAAGAGGTGCAATAAGGGTACCCAGTGACACCTTTGAAAAGGACACAGAAGCTTCAGTACGCACTAGATCCCAAATATGAATCAATGGGACCAGTGGGTGCATCTCTCATTGACATTTAATGAACTACAGCCATACATTTTAATTTCTGCATATAGACCAAGGTGCTGGTATGAGCCAGACAACACCAAACAGTTAGAATTGTTACGTTCTTAACTGCACTCAATTGACTGTTCTCTGTCAGATTCTGAAAATCACATTTCTAAAGCATGACTTGAATATAGTTGGAAGCCTAAAATTTCAATGTATCTAAATTTATGTTGGTTTTAGACAAAATTAATTAGTGTTCTGATTTCAACAGTAGATACCATGTTTGAATAGATAAAAGGTGGATGGGCTTCAGCAGAATTTTAACAAATAATAAGGCAACTTTCCCAAATCCTGCCAAATTTTGCTAGGCAATAGTTAATGAAATATTGTATTGCACTTTAAAATAATGGGTTATAATAAATAATAAATAATAAATAATAAATAATAAATCTGGTGTAATTCCACTTACAATGCCACCTAATGTTACTTGATAGTAGATTCTGCAGAGATGTAACATTATTTTATGTTTAGAAAGTAGTGACCTGGTATATCCCTGCATAAAGAGTTTTTTCTTGATAGGAGAACAGCTTTGAAGGAAAAGTTACCCTAGTTAAGAATGCCTGGATTTTACTTGCATGCAACTTTGGGTCTACAAATTTATGTATGCTTGTGTTAAGTCTTGTATATTTCTAAAAGGAAGCTGATCTATGAGCCAATATTGTATGCAGCCTATTAAGAAACCAATGTTTAGCTTTTATTTTAATGCACAATTTAGGAATACAATAATCCTTTTTAATGCATTATTGCCGAGTCCTTCTAAAAATGGTGTGTCCCCTTGATTTTCTTCACGGTCATTTTTTCAGGCAAGAATGACACTAAATTATTATAAAATTGTTCTTGTAGTCTTCCTTCTCAAGAAAATATGATAAATCTTTTCTATACGGGTGTCCTAAAACATGAAATTAGATTTACTCCTCAAATGCCTTCAAACCTCCAGACTATGCACAAACAAACCTCAGTGAATTTAAAATGTGGCTAGAATTTGAACTGATGTGCCATGTTTTCAACATGTTTCGAGAAGATACTCTGAAACCAGAATAACACCTCTATGAGAAACACATAGACCATTTCTTTCTCTGTTGGAACAGGTATTAACAGAGCAGTAATTCCCCAGCATTTGGAGGAAAAGAAGAATCTATGTTGCAGACATCAGAAAAAGAGCTTTAATACTAGTGGCTATCTGAAACCCATACTGCATATCTGCTACATGCATTATAAAAGTAGATACATTTATTTAAAATAATAATTTGGATCAGAGAATCAAATAGCTGAATAAATGAAAATATCATGAGTTCAATAGTAAAAAGTCATACTAGTGTAAGGAGAGATTCTTTGCAATTTACATAGAGGGACAAGGAAGCAATCTTTTCTGCTTCTAAAAAAGTCTCTGTGATTTTATTTCAGACTGTTTCTGCAATTTCTTTTAAGCCTGAAAAGAATTAATCAGAATTTGCAGAAATACACTTATTTTTGAAAAAAAAAAAAGTACTACAGTCTTTTGATTTTAATTCCAAAGTAAATTTGAAATATTGATTTCTTTTCTAAAACCTTTGATTTTGGAAAATGCACATTATTTTCTTGAAAAAATCTTATAATTTACATATATCTGCAGTAGCATAACATATTTTACTTTTAATGTAGAATCTTCTGTCTCCTAGGGCTGTATGTTTTCATCTTTTATATAAAGTTTTTACTGCCTGTGATACACAACATGGAAGCCTGCCAACACAAAAGAAGGGAAATCTGTGACATCTAAATTGTAACTTCCATAGGCAGAAGTAAAGTTTTCTAATTTTTGCTATTTTTAACTCATGTAAATAAATGTGATTTTCCAATTAGCTATAGCAAACTTGGGACTTTTTTTCCTGTTTCCTGTTTTGTATGAGTACCGTGATGGGCAAATACTCTTTTTTTTTTTTTTCTTTTTTTCCTCCAAACAAGAAAACAAAGATATTTTTATTTAAAAATAAAAGTCCTATGTATGACTCAAGTTTCTATTTGTTCAAGCCAATTAATTTCAAACTAAAGAAGAAAGGTAACAAACAGGTTTTATTTGGCTATCTGTGGGTTCCGAATTGGATTTCTTGTTAATATACAGTGAAAGAAAGGATTAACAGGTACAAAAGCAAGGATTTAGCTGTCAAATGACTGAATGTAGGAAAGCTTAAAAGGAAGGAAAGGTGAAGGATCATGCCTGCAGTTCCCCCACATTAAGATATTAAGTCCAATATGGAAAAAAATCAAATGAAAGGGAAATGAAATTCATTTCCTGTAAATCTCAGATGTCTCATATCTCACTATATTGAAAAAAAAAGAAGAAAGCAAGCTACTAAAAAAAGCATCCAGAACCCTATCTTTTACTTTTAAAACTATAAAAAAATAATAAAAGAAAGGGTGGACAGCTTTGGTTGGGACTGTAACCTCTCAGTAGTGCTGGCTATCAGCTCAGGGTTGTTGCATTATAGACCTGTAACGTGTATGACATGTCAGACAGCCTCACACAGAATGAATCTATCCTTCATAGTATCATGTATATGCGTTACTGATAAGAAAATGCCTATTTGTACTCCATAGGTGTTCATCCTCTGCCCTGAAAGATTGAATTTATTTACTCTTATCATAGTGCTAGGGGCAAAGATGATAATGCCTATTATGTTATTTTCAAAGCAGTTCCTGGGGTTTTAGCTACATCTCTTCAAGCACAGGCTTGACCATTTTCAAAATGTACAGTTAAGTGTCAGTTACCGTATCTAATGTAAAGATAGTATTAGCAATACATATGCAAAACATGCAAAGAACATTTAGCATGGAGTGTGTGTGGCAGGAGTAGCACAACTGTCTTTATTGCTAAAAATAATTTTATTCAACAAATATTATACAGTGTCACTAGAGTACAACCTGCGACACAGGAGTGGTCTCCACTATGAAAGGGAAACAGTAAAGAATTTACAGACCTAGTGTTTCAGACCATTTCAGAAGGTCATACTACCTCTGCCAAGTATTATGTCTGTCTCTCGCAGTAGTGTGGGTATCACCATTATTCTGAAATGAGCTGAAGCATAGGTTTCTCTCAGCACATGTATGTACATAGTGACGCGCACTGCAGAAGAATGACACCCAGCACCACAAGAGTATCAGTTTAAATAAGACCCAACAGAAAACAAAACACCTCTGCAGACGGTGAAAGATATAATGGAAAATAAATGAGGAAAAATCTCAAGGCAGTCAAAGCAACAGGAAAGCTTTGCAGGACTAAAAACA